GAATCATGAAAACAAGTAAATTAGTATTTTGTGAGCTATAAATTAATCAATACATGATGCCACCTATTTCATGTATGCAAATGAGCTAGGAAATAATGCAAAACATAATATAAGTTAAGTATAAAGATTTGGAACTATTATCACGCTATGCAACCTAAATGAAATGCAATATATGAAGTCTAAAGTATATAAACATTAGGCTTATCATAAGATGCAAATAATAAAGTCATATAACATGATATGTGATGATCAAAACATGTGTATATATGTAAATAATGAATAACAATATGAGTATGTATGAAATAAGTAAAATAAGAATGTAAAAAGTATGTAAAGACTCTTTTGACTTCTATCCTTGTGAAACAAGATGAAAGTATGAAGAAGATGAGTAATTGCACGAGTGTCTATGCCCTAACTTGCTGCACACAAAAAATAAAACAGACACAATTTCTCATATTGAAATAGTGCATAAGTATGTTTACCATCCGACAATGCCAACTTCTTCTTCCTCTTCAGAGGTTATCTGATATTAATCCAAACACGAGTTCGGATACATCCTTTATATCCTAACATGACAATAGTTGCATCATAAGCCAAAAAATTACCAATAAAATCCCCAAGTTGTTTAACCATTGCCTCAGTAACAAACCCTACTGGTAGGTCAACTATCTGGACCAAAAAATCCACTATTTGTAGAGGGACTACCCTCGAATCCTACCACGCTTTCATCCTATGCAAAACCAGAATATGAGAATTAAAATACCAAGTCCCATCCATCTCAATTCGATCAGCATCGATTGCATGATAAAAACCAGAATAAAAATCTTTCTTTCCTAAGATCCGTCGATTAAATGCCAAAGTTTTTCCAACGTAGTTCTTGGTGTGGACTGGCTAAAAAAACTATAACCCCATGTGGATAGATTTTATCACATGACCATTACCTTTCAAAGTGCATGTCAAGAAATCACATTGAAGGGTGAACAAATTATTCCTATGGTCAAATTGATTTCAGGCAGTAAGATGCAAAAATTGGTGGAGAATGATGCGAAACTTTGTGGTGAAATTTTTATACTGGAAAGTGATACTTGTGAGACATCTATTACTGGGAATTCAAAAAGTATTCCAAGAATATCAAATGGTCTTTGAGGAACCTTCTGGTCTATGACCTAAGAGGAAGCTTGATCATTCTATTGTCATCAAATCTAGTGTTAAAGTAGTTAACATCCGACCTTATCGAATGCCATAGCTTTAGAAGACCAAGGTTAAAAAAAGTGACTACAATGTTATATTTTTATGTGATTTAGACCGGCAAGAGTCTATTTGCCTCACCTTTTTTACTGGTCAAAAAGAAATATGGGAGCTGTAGAATGTGTATTGACTATAGAACGCTTAATGCCCTAATGGTGAAAAACAAATTTCCTATTCTGGTGGTAAAAGATCTCATAGATGAATTGTCTAGGGTAACTTATTTCTCTAAATAGGATTTGAGGTTAGGCTATTGACAAATAAGGATTACACAAGAAGATATTCCTAAAACAACCTTTCAAACTCATCATGGCCATTTTGAATTTAAGGTGATGCCCTTTGGTTTAACCAATGCACCTGCAACTTTTCAAGCACCGATGAATGATTTGTTTGGTCCTTATCTGAGAAAATTCGTGACTAGGTGAGTGTTTAGGTAGCTAGTTTGGTGAATAGTAGCTAGGTAGACTCAAGCTAGCTAGCTAGTGACACCCCAGCTACTCAACTACCACTTCAATTATCTTCTAGTTACCTCCAATCCTTAGCTTAGCTACTAAGTCTTCATCTTATTCTCAGCTAAATTTAGCTCACATTCAACTCTATTAGCTAGCTTTGAGCTAATATCCTTATCCTTTGAGCTTCCTTTAGCTAAGGTGAGCTTATTTTCCTTTTCTTTTAACTAGTGTGAATTATCATACTTTGAGTTCCTTATCACCAAGTTGCCATATGGTTTCTTGTCATTGCTTGCACTTGTATGAATCATGAAAACAAGTAAATTAGTATTGTGTGAGCTATAAATGAATCAAATGCATGATGTCGCTTATTTCATGTATGCAAGATTTAGCTATTATCATGCTACGCAACCTAAATGAAATGCAATATATGAAGTCTAAAGTATATGGACATTAGGCTTATCATAAGATGCAAATAATAAAGTAAGTTAACATGATATGTGATGATCAAAACATGTTTATATATGTAAAGAATGAATGACATTATGAGTATGCATGAAATAAGTAAAATAAGAATGTAAAAAGTATGTAAAGGCTCTTTTGCCTTCCATCATTGTGAAACAAGATAAAAGTATAAAGAAAATGAGTAACCGCATGAGTAGGATTATATAATCATATCCCAAAAAAGAATATGGTCTTGTTTTTCTTTGAGAATACGGATCGGGCAGAAGCCCTCTTTATGCCCTAACTTGTTGCACAAAAAATAAAACAGACACAATTTCTCATATTGAAACAGTGCATAAGTATGCTTACCATCCGACAATGCCAACTTCTTCTTCCTCTTCAGAGGGTATCTGATATCAATCCAAACACGAGTTTGGATATGTCCTTTATATCCTAACATGACAACGGTTGCATCATAAGCAAAAAAAATTGCTAATGAAATCCCCAAGTTGTTTAACCATTGCCTCAGAAACAACTGGTAGGTTAACTATATGGACAAAAAAATCCACTGTTTGTAGAGGGACTACCCTCGGATCCTAGCCCGCTTCCATCCTATGCAAAACCAGAAGATGAGAATTAAAATACCAAGGCACATCCATCTCAATTTGATCAACATCGATCGTATGATAAAAACCGTAATAAAAATCTTTTTTCCCCAATATATGTAAGAGTAATTCTCTCGATTAAATGTCAAACATTTGCCAACGTAGTTCTCATCACTTGGGTATTGATCACACTTGAAGTGAGGAAGAACCCCACAAAACAATTCTCAAAAGATAAAGTAGGAACCTGCCTATTAACATTAAATGACAGCGTCTCCTCCTCCCCTTCTCCTAATCATATATTTTCCTTATCATGTTTAATGTATCCCATTATCCCACACAAATAGAAACCAGAAGTAAAACAAGACTCGTCGACCGAAAAATAGAAAAATTAGGAGGGCAAAACCCTAAGACGTGTCACAAGACAAAGAGAAAAATGGTAAAACCATAGATATAAAAATTATAAAAATAGATTAATTAATAAAAATAAATATAAATAGATTAACTAATAAATTAAATACTAAAAAATTATAAAAAGTGATATTAGAACCATTATAAAAATTGAATTTTATTTTATAATAGAAACGGTAGATAACATGAATATAAAAGATGATTTCATCTTTAATATAATAGGCGAAGTTATATTATAAATATTTATTTTTAACGAATAATTTTAGATAGAATGATAAATACTTCATATATATTATGTAATAAATCTTAAGTTATTTTAATTACATTATATAAAAGAATAAAAGCAGAAACATTATTAAAATAATACTTATAACGATGTTTAGTTTCGATTAATTAATAATACAAAATTTAATCACACTTTTTAAGTATATAAAAATAAAAAATATTGTATAGATAAAAATAACTTTTTTTGAGTTAATAAAAATAATAAATGACCGTAATTAAGCGAATAAATTTATAATTAATAAAAAAATTGTAAGGCGAATATTTGTCATCAGACTCAGCTTAAAAGAAAAGAAAAAAATACGGAAAAGCAACCCGATAAAGATGGTCCAAGCGGTGAAGAATTCACCATCGTGGAAGGAAGCTATTATATTCCTTTTTCTTTTTCCTTAAAAAATATGTTATTTTAATCATAATATTTCTTTACTAATGCACATTAGAAAATATATAAAAATAAAAAATATATATCTAAAAAGCATTGTTTTGAAAATCGGATCGAACTGGTCGATTCAACCGATTCAACCGAAAATCGCTGTCTAGTCCGGTTCAACAGGGAATCGCTATTAGTGAATCGGCTGAAACCGCTGAACCGTTCAAACCGGACCGACTGAAAACCGGAAAAAACCGGGAAAAACCAGAAAAACCGCCAATTTTGTTTTTTTTTAAATTACACCAAACAACGTCGTTTGTTAAACGAGACAAGTCGAACTCGAGTATTGTTGAGCTCGACTCGAACTTGAAAACTTTAAAAGTAAACTCGACTCGACTCAAACTCACGAGCTAAAAATTATCAAGTTCAACTCGAACTCGAAATATAATATTGAAACTTGAACTCGAAAAGGTTTGAACTCAAAAAAAATTTAGATGCTCGATTGAAGCCTAAAATTCGAGCTTGATTAAAGTGAAAGAATAGTCCACTCAATGCTCACCAAAAGACTCTATGATTTTGAATGTCAAATTAACTCTATTATTTATAGAAGTTAGTTGGGATGCTCTTCTATGTTTCTTAACCATGTTGGATTGTTTTGTTATTATATTTTTACTCTTTAGATTTTTTGGATGCTCTTCTATATTTTTTAGCCATGTGAGATTATTTTAAAAAAAATTAAACCAAACAATATTATTTTGTTATGATTTTTTTAGCCTCAGATTTAATTTTTAATTATAGTTATATAATTATATTTATTATTTAATATGTTTTACCTTAATTATTATGTTGTAGTTAATTTGAATTATTTTGTTTCACTTGATTTTATAAATTTTAACTTATATATGTTATGACTTGTGATATAAAAAATTATTTTTTATTAAATATTTTTGATATTTTTATTTAATTTTTTAAATAATTATGATGTCGTTCGATTTTTCTGATTAAATTAATTCAAACAATTGAACTAATAAATCAGTAGCATAGAAACCTGTCCGGTTCTGAAAACCATGCCAAAAAATCCTCGGCCTCTTGATTCCTTCCTCACTTCAGGGTTTCAGTTTTCTATGCCTTTTTAACCTCCACCTTCACAAATTCATCCTCAATTGATAATCGAAATCCAATTTCTTTAATTAAACGAAGATTGAGGCCACGTTCCTTGATCGTTTATTACAGGGTGTTCCACGTTTATCCGAATTGTGATTTGCTTTAATTTCGTTTCTAGGGTATCGAATTAGGTTTTCTTTAGACGCAGGTAGCAATCGGATCAGGAATCGTTTGATCTTGTTGCGGTGACCTCCCGATTAACCCAGGGGCGGTGGTCCCCTTTGTATGGAAACTCGGAGCCGGAAGCGGGCGGAGGCCTCCTCAGTTGCCCCTTCATCTTCTCCCTCTGGACCAACCACTCGTTCTCATAAGCGCGCACGTCTTTCTTCCTCTTCTACCGCTGCAACTGCCGCCACGACTCGCTCTCCCTCTTCCCGCGCTGCCGCTACTTTAATGGACTTCACCACCACCGAATCTTCTTCTGGTTCTCACCGCGATCGCCGTTCCAGCAAAGCTAATCAGACCACAACAAGTGACAGTCCGAATCTCGCCTCCGATAGGGGCAAAGAGAAAGAACGTGATCCAAGTGTTCGTGACAGAGATAGAGATAAGGGTAATAGAGACAATAACAATTCTAACGACCCTGAGAGAAATTTAGGGTTGATTTTGGATACCTCCGGAGGCGAAGACGATGATAATGATAGCGAAGGAGGTGTAGGTATTTTGCACCAGAATCTGACGTCAGCAAGCAGCGCGTTACAAGGCTTGTTGAGAAAGCTTGGTGCTGGGCTTGATGATTTACTTCCGTCATCGGGTATGGGTTCTGCATCTTCATCTCATCAAAGCGGGAGGTTGAAGAAGATTCTCTCCGGGTTGCGTGCTGATGGAGAGGAAGGGAAACAAGTGGAGGCGTTGACGCAGCTGTGTGAGATGCTTTCGATTGGGACTGAAGAGTCCTTGAGCACGTTTTCTGTGGATTTATTTGTTCCCGTGCTCGTTGGGTTGCTTAATCATGAGAGTAATCCTGATATCATGCTTCTTGCAGCAAGGGCACTGACTCATTTATGTGATGTTTTGCCTTCCTCATGTGCTGCTGTGGTGCACTATGGTGCAGTTTCGTGTTTTTGTGCTAGGTTGCTCACTATAGAATATATGGACTTGGCTGAACAGGTTGGTTTTTATTTGGTTACTTTCAAAATTATTGATTATTAGATAATGAGAATTTTTTTTTGTGATCAAACATGAGCTTCTTTTAGTGAATGATATCTTGTATTTCATTGCAAACTAGAGTGTAACAAGCTAATTATACTAGAAATTAGGTCCAATTGGTATGAATGGAGATAAATTTGAGATGTTTATGCATTTCGCTGAGGGCCTGTGTCGTGGAAAATTGGCTTGTTCTCTAACTAACCATTAAAATTATCTGTTTTCTGGTTTTCTAATAACGAAGAGTTTACTACATTGTTCATAGATGTAGACTCGAATTAGAAAGTAGAATATTGTAGATTTGCTTTAGTCCGCATTCTTATCTTTCTGGTTGAAATGCTGGAAACAGTCTCTCCAAGCTTTGAAGAAGATATCTCAGGAGCACCCAACCACCTGTTTACGAGCTGGTGCTCTCATGGCTGTGCTTTCGTACTTGGATTTCTTCTCCACTGGGGTTCAGGTGATTAATTTGGAAAAGTTTTGACTGTTAATTTATAAAGAGGAATTTCTGGCAATTTTGAATCTGTTTGATCTGTTTCTTATGTTTAATCCCATGTTCCAGCGAGTGGCACTATCTACTGCTGCAAATATGTGCAAGAAACTCCCTTCAGATGCATCTGATTATGTCTTGGAAGCTGTACCTTTATTAACAAATCTTTTGCAGTACCATGATTTGAAGGTGACTTGGACATGCATATTTGATGATTCATTTGTTGTATATTGTGTTTCTTTTTCATCTTGTACACATTATTGTGTTTATAGGTGCTGGAGCATGCTTCTGTTTGTTTGACTCGCATTGCTGATGCCTTTGCATCTTCCCCGGATAAATTAGATGAGCTTTGCAATCAGGGCCTGGTTACTCAAGCTGCATCTCTCATTTCTGCAAGTTCTTCTGGAGGTGGGCAGGCTTCTTTGAGCACGCCGACATATACGGTTAGTTGTTGTTGCTCCTTTGCTTATCCATATGCCAATGCATTTTATGATTAACATCATGAAAGTTGGATTTTTTGAATTTAGGGCTTAATTCGACTGCTTTCAACATGTGCAAGTGGGTCTCCTTTAGGAGCAAAAACTTTACTTCTGCTTGGGATCAGTGGCATACTTAAAGATATACTATCAGGTTCTGGCGTTTCTAATAACTCATCCGTTCCACCAGCATTAAGCAGACCAGCAGAGCAGGTAACAAATTTAATTCAAGGTGATAACATGGTAGTTGTCATTGCTTAGTTGTTTACTTGTCAACATGTTATGTGTGACGTGTGCAATTTTATATTAAAACAAGCAGGGGTGAAAGTAGACACTAACTCACTAAATACCAACTCTTAGCTTCAGAATCAGTTTATGTAAACCTTGCATGTCAGTGGTTTTTTATCGTGGGTGAAAGTTACTGGTATTGAGGTTGAACTGATTTTAATTCAAGCTGAAATGATTATATCTCTTATTGCTGTTAGTTTGTTTATAACATTGTACATGCGACCAAGGGTGGAGTCAGGAAGTTTTGATTGTGGGGTCAAACTTTAAGGAATTAAAACATCTAAAAATGCCATATAAATTAGTACACTTGATAAACCAATGTTAATATGGTTGGTTAAGGCTATTACAAAACTATTAGAATAGTAAATAAAAATATAGGTATATCACATAAATTTCATAACTTGTACCTTGTTCACAGTTGTCCACAACACTTTCTGATCTATATCTTAGAAATCTCATGTAAAGTCAATACCCAAAACCGTTCAATCAATAAAGCTTAATATTGCATTAAAACCCTAATCTGTTAGAAGTAAAACTACAATCATAATTTTCTAGAGGTTAATCACTAAAGCTTGAAAAGAAAAGAGGAGTTGTTACCAAATTAGGGAGAACTTGAGTACCTATCTTGTAACAATTCTAAAGAGAGTTGAATAAGAGAAATTTAGGACTGACGCGATGAATGCTGAAAAAAATAAAAATATTGGGAAATTTTAAAATGTTTTGTGGGTGAAGAGAGACTAATTTATTTTTATATAAATTATTTTTTTATGAATTATTTTTTTAAATGTGGCGTCTAAATTGAAGACTTATATAAATTATTATGTTTATAAAGTAATTTTCTATTTTTTTGTGGGTTCAATTGGTTTGAAAATTGGTGTAACCGTTAATACACATGATATCTAAGTCAGGGGCATGGCCATCTAAAGCTGGAAGGGGCCTTGGTCCCCTGTTTAAACAGTGCAATTGCAGTTTTAGCCCCTCTTAAACATGAAATATTTTATTTAGCCCTTTTTAGACCATAAATAAATGGAAAATATTGCATTTTGGCTTCTCCCAGAAATAAATGGTTCAATTTAAGTCGCTTTAACACAATCTTTTGTTTTTCTCCGTCAAACATAAGATTCTTGGGTTTTTCATATTTCTTGGGTTTTATATTATTGCACGGGCTTAGTAAGTTTGTAATAGCTTATGCATATCATGCCCATCTGTTTGATGGTCATGTAATTCTTATTTTCTTGTGTAGATTTTTGAAATTGTCAATTTGGCAAATGAACTTCTTCCTCCGTTGCCACAAGGAACCATTTCCATCCCTGCCAGCTCTAGTATATTTGTCAAAGGATCTATTGTGATGAAGTCTCCTGCTAGCAGCTCTAACAAGCAAGAAAATACTGATGAAAATGCTCCTGAAGTTTCAGCCCGAGAGAAATTATTGAGAGATCAGCCCGAACTTCTTCAGCAGTTTGGTGTGGATCTCCTTCCTGTTCTCATGCAGGTGATTTTTCTTTGTTAGAGCCGTTTCTTGGTTATCTCTTGATTATTAGTATTTATCCATGTCATTACCATGATTTTCTATTGTTTTCCGGTATTTATGGTCTTATCTTTTTTTCCCATTAGATCTATGGTTCCAGCGTCAATAGCCCTGTTCGCCACAAATGTCTCTCAGTTATTGGAAAACTAATGTACTTTAGCAGTGCAGAGATGATTCAGAATTTATTGAGTGTGACAAATATATCAAGGTGTCCACCTTAAGTAAAAGATAGCAATTTACATTTTTGTGTAGGTTTGCTTACGGGAACTTACTGTTTCTTTGATGTTGTAGCTTCCTTGCTGGTGTTTTAGCATGGAAAGATCCACATGTATTGGTTCCGTCCCTCCAAATTGCAGAGATCCTCATGGAAAAACTTCCTGGAACCTTCTCCAAAATGTTCGTCAGAGAGGGCGTCGTTCATGCCGTGGACCAGCTCATTTTAATTGATAATCAAACTGCCACTCCTGCCCAATTATCTCCCCCTGAGAAGGATAATGATTCTGCATCTGGAACACCATCACGTTCCAGGCGCTACAGACAACGCAGTGGTAACTCTAAACCTGAAGGAGGTTCTGTGGAGGAGTCCAAGAATCAGGCATCTTTAAATATTGGTTCACCTCCTAGTACAGTTGAAATTCCTACAGCCAATTCCAACCTTCGTACTGCAGTAAGTGCATGTGCTAAAACATTTAAAGATAAATATTTCCCCTCTGATCCTGGAGCTGTTGAAGTTGGTGTAACGGATGATCTTATACACTTAAAAGGTCTTTGCATGAAATTAAATGCTGGTGTTGACAATCAAAAGACTAAGGCAAAAAGAAAATCCAAAGCTTTGGGGTCTCGTTTGGCTGACTTTTCTTCTAGCAAAGAAGAGTATTTGATTGATGTAATTTCCGAGATGCTAGCTGAACTGAGCAAGGGGGATGGGGTATCCACATTTGAGTTTATTGGTAGTGGTGTTGTTGCAGCCTTGTTAAACTATTTTTCTTGTGGGTACTTCTCCCAGGAGAGGATTTCAGATGCAAACCTGCCTAAGCTTCGACACCAAGCTCTTAAAAGATTAAAATCATTTATTGATGTTGCACTTCCTTCAAGTGTTGATCAAGGGAGTATCGCTCCTATGACTGTACTGATTCAGAAGCTTCAAAATGCTTTATCGTCTGTAGAGCGTTTCCCTGTAGTTCTCAGCCATTCATCGAGATCTTCTGGTGGGGGTGCACGCCTCTCTTCTGGATTAAGTGCATTATCTCAGCCTTTTAAGTTGCGGCTCTGTCGAGCCCAAGGGGAGAAGTCTCTCCGTGATTATTCTTCAAATATTGTGTTGATTGACCCATTAGCAAGTCTAGCAGCTGTGGAAGAATTTCTTTGGCCACGTATTCAACGAAGTGACACTGCTCAAAAACCCTCTGCATCTGTAGGAAATTCCGACTCTGGGAACACACCTAGTGGGGCTGGTGCTTCTTCACCATCTACCTCAACTCCTGCTTCAGCCACTCGTCGTCATTCTTCAAGGTCCAGATCATCTGTTAATATAGGAGATGTTGCCAAAAAGGAATCATCACAGGAGAAAAGCACAAGTTCATCAAAGGGCAAAGGTAAGGCTGTTTTGAGGCCTTCTCAAGAGGAGTCTAGAGGACCTCAAACTAGAAATGCTGCTCGTAGAAGGGCTGCTCTCGATAGAGATTCTCCAATTAAACCTGAAAATGGTGACTCCACTTCTGAGGTATGTGTTTTGATTTTTAGATATGGTAGTATGATGTGGTTGAGTTATTTGTATTTTATAAGCTTATGTGCCAAATTTAGTTTAAATTTATGATCATTTGGTAACAACCCTTTTTTATGTCGTATTTCTCTCGCCTTATGTTTGTATGCAACTATGAATCCCACCCACTGTTTGAAAATGGTCATGTGCCGCTTTTTTATGGTAGGATGAAGAATTGGATATGTCTCCTGTGGAGATTGATGATGCTTTGGTGATTGAAGATGATGGTATTTCTGATGATGAAGATGATGATCATGAAGATGTAAGTTGTATTTTGCCTCTTGAAATGGGAAGCCAATTCATGTTTAATAAACTTCATTTGATCTTTACATTTGTTTGATGGAACCGTCTTTCTTTTCCAGGTGCTCAGAGATGATTCTCTTCCTGTCTGCATGCCAGATAAAGTACATGATGTTAAATTGAGTGATTCAGCTGAAGATGGCACACCTGTGCCTGCCACAAGTGATAACCAAACTAATGCTGCTTCTGGATCTAGCAGCAGAGTTGCTGCTGTTAGTGGTTCAGACGCTGCTGATTTTAGAAGTGGTTATGGCTCAAGGGGTGCAATGTCGTTTGCTGCAGCTGCCATGGCTGGGTTTGGATCTGCCAACGGTAGAGGTATTAGGGGAGGTAGAGATCTACAAGGACGACCTCCATTTGGTAGTTCTCATGAGCCTCTAAAGTTAATTTTTACTGTTGGCAGTAAGCAGTTGAACAGGCAGTTGACCATTTATCAGGCCATTCAAAGACAGCTTGTGTTGGACGAGGATGATTGTGAAAGATATGGTGGTAGTGATTTCACATCTAGTGATGGAAGAGGGATGTGGAGTGGTATCTACACAATAACATATCAGAGGGCAGAAACCCAACCTGACCGAACATCAGTAGGGGGTTCTGGTTCTTCTACAGCGCCTAAGTCTATTAAATCTTGTTCTCACGATTCCAGTTCGGATCCCCAGACTCAGAGGATGTCACTGTTAGATAGCATCTTGCAAGGGGAACTTCCTTGTGATCTTGAAAGATCTAATCCTACTTATACTATCCTGACACTGTTGTATGTGTTGGAGGGGTTGAATCAGCTGGCACCTCGTTTGAGAGCTCAGATAGCTTCTGACAATTTTGCTGAAGGAAAAAATTTAAATCTGGATGAGTTGAGTACCCCCAGTTCTAGAGTGCCTTATGAGGAATTTATTAACGGTAAGCTCACACCAAAACTTGCTCGACAAATACAGGATGCCCTTGCTCTATGCAGTGGAAGCCTTCCTTCCTGGTGTTATCAGCTGACGAAGGCATGCCCCTTTTTATTTCCTTTTGAGACACGAAGACAGTACTTCTATTCAACTGCCTTTGGGTTGTCTCGTGCATTATATCATCTGCAGCAGCAGCAGGGAGCTGATGGCCATGGATCAACTAATGAAAGAGTGGTAAGGGTTGGGAGATTACAGCGGCAGAAAGTTCGTGTCTCTCGCAACCGCATTTTGGATTCTGCTGCAAAAGTAATGGAGATGTATTCTAGCCAAAAAGCCATGCTTGAAGTTGAATATTTTGGAGAAGTTGGCACTGGATTGGGTCCAACCTTGGAGTTCTATACACTATTAAGTCATGATTTGCAAAAGGTTGGTCTTGGAATGTGGAGGTCTAATTCTACATGGGATAAGTCAACAATGGTAATTGATGGAGATGAAGAGAAAAATGAAAAAACTGCCGGTTCTGTTACTATTGGGGGAGATGTAATCCAAGCTCCTCTGGGGTTGTTCCCTCGACCTTGGCCACCAAATGCTGATGCTTGTGAAGGAAGCCAGTTTTCCAAAGTAATTGAATATTTCCGGCTACTTGGACGTGTGATGGCCAAAGCTCTTCAGGATGGACGACTTCTAGACCTGCCTCTATCAACATCATTTTATAAACTTGTGCTTGGTCAAGTAAGCTGATTGCATTGTTTTAACTTGTAGAACAACTTGAATCTTATTTATGCTTAGATTGTATATTTGTATGCTTATAACACTTCCACTATTGTGTCAATTATCTCTTACTTTTTATATAATATTGCAGGAGCTTGATTTGTCTGATATTCTGTCTATTGACGCCGAGTTTGGGAAATTTTTGCAAGAACTGCATTTCCTTGTTTGTCGAAAGCAGTACATGGAATCAACAGGTGGTGAAAATAGTTCCGCAATTGCCGATATACGCTTCCGTGGGGCCCCAATAGAAGATCTCTGTTTGGATTTTACACTTCCAGGCTTTCCATATTACATACTGAAACCAGGGGATGAAACTGTATGTCTTTAACTTTTCATTTTATTCCTTTTTTTATTCCTTTTTTTATTCCTTTTTCGGTAGACAATTCCAACATCCTGTTAAATGCATCAGGTGGATATCAATAACTTAGAAGACTACATATCCTTGGTGGTTGATGCAACTGTCAAGGATGGAATTATTCGGCAAATGGAAGCATTTCGGGCTGGATTTAATCAGGTACAGTTGCTTTCTTTGTTCCGAGTTTTCTCAACTGATCAAAACTTTATTTTTTTTTCTGGATTTCCGTTAATTATCTGCATATGGGGATCTGTTTTTGTGATTTATTGTAATGTTAATATATGCTTTGTATAACAAGCAGGTTTTTGATATTGCATCATTGCAAATATTTACCCCACAAGAGTTGGACTATTTGCTGTGTGGTCGCAGAGAGCTGTGGGAGGTAATTTGACACTTAATGTGATAGGATTGCTAATTTCTTTGGTTAGAACTGGTTTTCTTTTTTGATTTTTGATGTAACTTAAAACACTGCAGGCTGAGACACTTGCTGATCACATAAAATTCGATCATGGATATACTGCAAAGAGCCCTGCTATTCTTAATGTATGTTTGTTTCACGACACTTCTTCAAGTATCTTGAAATCTATATTCTACTCATGAGAATTTTTGGTTTTTTGATTTCGCAGTTACTTGAAATTATGGGAGAATTTACACCAGAGCATCAACGGGCATTCTGCCAATTTGTTACCGGTGCGCCTAGACTTCCACCTGGTGGTCTGGCAGTGCTGAATCCAAAGCTAACAATTGTTAGAAAGGTAACTGGCGTTACATTGGAACTTTAATATCAATGTTTCTTCTCTTCTACAGTGTTGTCGACATATAACATCACAACCGGCTTTGAATATTAAGATCAAAGTACGGCTGAAAACAGCTTTACATATTAATTTGTTTATGCCAATTATTTAAGTGCTCAAGGAAATGGCTTCATTATTTTGAAGTTGCCCCTCAAGGGAGAGTACCCGTGTTTGGCACCTGAGCTTGACACATTAGAAAATGGATGCATAGGTATAATCTTCCAAATGTAAACTACTTGAGAAACAAAATTAAGAGATAAGAATATTGTACACTTGCTGTTGCATTGACACCTCCAAGTTCAAGTAACACAGATATTGATGAGTATTGTTGTTAACAGTAAATGTTTCATTCAGGTGTACATTAAGCTGGGTTCTTGGTTGTGGTTCTAATGTTGTATTTATCTGAATTCTGGTTGCAGCATTCCTCTTCTGCAATTCCTGCTTCTTCCAATGGAAGTGGAACCTCAGGAACAGCAGATGATGACTTGCCCAGTGTCATGACTTGCGCTAATTACTTGAAGCTTCCGCCATATTCAACCAAGGTATTATCAATGGTACCATTTTATCTATATACTCATATGCTATTTCCTCATCGACACTGCTGCTGTCTAAACAGGAAGTTATGTACAAGAAATTGCTTTATGCAATCAATGAGGGACAAGGATCTTTTGATTTATCGTGATCCCCCGGTATTAGGAACTGAAGTGTAGTATATTTCTGAACAACCACAATGTGGGTCTACTTTTCTCAGCTGCTGCCATCTTTTTTGATGTTTTGAAGTAGCGTATTAATTATGCTGAAACAATAATCGCTTCTCTTCACTGCTGTGCCGTATAATTAGTGGCATCGGCAAAGCTCGGTTTCTACATCAATGGTGGATCATAAACTTGCATCCTTGGCCATTCCTAATTCTGGGTAATTATCTGAGCTCGATTTTCAGTATTAAATGTATTTTTTTCTTCAGGTGTTGTAATGAATAATTCTTTTTCAGATGAATGGACAGGTAAATAAATGGAGAATTTAATGCAGCAGCCCGCTTTGCTAAAACTTTTGTATATAAATAAGATGTTTATGTTTCTTTTTGTTGGTTTGACAATTTATTTACATATATATCATTGCATCGGCGTAAATGGTTCAAGGAAAGTAAATAAATGTTGATGGTTATGTTCTGTTCATTCATTTTTTATTTCAGTAGTTTTATTTTTCCCGAGTTATAGAATGGCAATAAGACCAGCACTGTTGTATGGACCAGTACTGCTGTATGGATCAAAATGTTGGACAATCAAGAAGGATCACGTAAGAATGATGGAGGCTGCAGAAATGAGAATGCTTCGATGAGCATGTGGTAGGACACTGTGAGACATGACACCAAACTCTGCAATTAGGATGTCCTTGGGGGTGGTGCTTGTATTCGAAAAATTGAGGGAGGGAAGACTATGGTAGTTTGGGCACGTCCTTATGCGACAACCGTCGGATGCGGTCAGGAGGATAGAGTCGATTACAGTCGACGGTGCTAGAAGGAGAGGATGACCAAGGAGGAAGTGGGTAGACTGCGTGAGATCTGATTTTAAAGATTTAGCCCTTAGCGAGGACATGACCTCTGATAGGAAAGTATGGAGACTTAAGATCAGGGTTGCTGAGTAGTGTAGGTCACAGCCATAGGGTGTAGCATCTCTGTCTTCTTTTTATGCCTTTGTTGTATTTTTCATGAATTATACTGTTTATACGTTTCTGTCATTGAAATTTATGAAGGTTTAGAACTAGGGTAGCAGAGTAGGGTTGCCTTAGTTTGGGTTTTAACCCATTTGACTTTATTCCTTCTAGTAACTTGCTATCGTTGATTTCTGTGTTTTCTTCTCTTTATGTTTCTTCTATTTAAATTTAATTGGGATTTACGTTTCTGTCTATAAGCAGAGATTTTTTCGCAGGAATTAATTGGAAGGGAAACTGTCCTCAACTATGTATTTATTGATTTATCTATACATGCATTGTATTTTATCTTTATTTTTATTTTTCTTACTGTCGGAGGTCTCCCACGGAAGCTGCTCTTAATCTGACGTTGGGAATAATCTATTACCCTATCCCCTAATCCCATTGCATATGGGAATATGATTTTGTTGTTGTATGTCTGGTATGCATATGTGTATCAGTGTATGAGATAAAAGTGTGATATGCATAATGATTGATACAGATATGAAACTAGAAACATGTTAGTTTTATTAACTTGATTATATGATTATGTTTAATTTGTTTTTGTATTTGTACGATAGGTTGATAATGTTATCGTATATTGTTTAAGCTAAATGATATGTTTCAAATACTTTTGTCGTGTAATCCTATTTGTATATAATAATATTGAAATATGAATTATATAATAAAGTGATTATATGTATATATTTGGCATGTTTATATGTTCAAATGATTAAAGTATGATTAAACCAAAAATATATTTTTTAAGATATAATGCAAACAAATACTCCTAACATTTGGCATTATATGTATTTGTGCCCAAATCATTTTTTTAACCAGTTCTACCTACAACGTTTGATTATGAGACATAAGTCCTCCCGTTGGATGGAATCCGTCAGTCAGACGGTCAATGGGTTCATCTAACGTGGTATGCACATGTGGTCATCGATGATGACATGGCATTTTCATGTCATTATTTTTGCTGATGTGGCATGTTCATATCATAGATGATGACGTGACAGATCTATGTAGACTAAATGTTGTCTACATATGTGATGTAACGTCATCAATTTTTTAAATTAATTAATAATAAATAATTATTTTTTATTAAATTAATATCAACCAACCAGATGTCACGTGACACATGAATTTTTTATTAAATTAAAAAAAGAGGGATTAAACCTCCACAAATTTTGCAATCCGGGAGTTGAAGCTGGATCTAAAGTATGAAAGCCTTAATACCTAACCATCAGGCCAAGTACTTGGTTGTTATTAAATGGCTAATAACAACATTAAAGTATATTGTTGCCATCAAAATTACCATTAAAACGAGCACTTTTTTAAAAAAAAATTATAATTAGATTTAAATTGTTATAATTATTTGAGTAAATTTAAATTATTCATTAGTCTTTTAAATTTAAATTTATAAATCGATATGGGTCTTAATTAATTTTAAATTTATAAACTTTAAAAAATCATAGGAAAATTGATCTGGGGATAAACCATAGGTGTTTTTTAAAGTTTATAAATTTAAAATTAATTAAAATTTTATCTTCAATTGTGTATTTCATGTGGCAGCTTCAATGGAATTCGACGCCAATTCGAAGGAGAATATTGGTAAATTCTGTATTTTTTATCTTCAAAGCATTTTCATTCACGTTTCGACAGTTCATCAATCTAACAGAGCATTTGATTTTTTCAAGAATCCTATGTTAGATCAAATATCATTTACCCTACAATCAAAGGCACTGAAAACCTCCTCAAATCTTTGCTTGAAATCCAACACTGTGAAAAGGGTTGTTTTCACATCTTCCATAAGCACTATCATTGTTAAAGATAGAAATGGAGATTGGAGATCTGTTGTTGATGAATCAAAGTAAAATTAAAAAACTGAAATTTAAAATTATAATTAATTTTAAATTTATAAACTTTAAAAAAGACCTATGGTTTATTCCCAGATCGATTTACCTATGATTTTTTTTAAAAGTTTATAAATTTAAAATTAATTAAGACCCCAGATCGATTTATAAATTTAAATTTAAAAAGACCTATGGATAATTTAAATTTACTCAAATAATTATAACAATTTAAATCTAACTATATTTTTTAAAAAAAAAAGTGCTTGTGTTAATGGTGGTTTTGATGGCAATAATATACTTTAAATGTTGTTATTAGCCATTCAATAACAACCAAGTACTTGGCCTGATGGTTAGGTATCAATGCTTTCATCCTTTATATCCATCTTCAAATCTCGGATTGTAAAATTTGTGGAGGTTTAATCCCTCTTTTCTTAATTTAATAAAAAATTCATGTGCCACGTGGCAACATCTGATTGATTGATATTAATTTAATAAAAAATAATTATTTACTATTAATTAATTTTAAAAAAAATTGATGATGTGTCACCATACGTGTACATGCCACGTCAGCATTTAGTCTACGTGGATCTGCCACGTCATCATCATCTATGATATGAACATGCCACGTCAGTAAAAATAATGACATGGAAATGCCATGTCATCATCGATGACCACATGTGCATGCCACGTCAGATAGACCTGTTGACCGTCAGTTGACTGACGGATTCCATCCAACGGGGGGACTTATGCCTCATAATCAAACGTTGTGGGTAGAACTGCTCCAAAAAAACGATTTTGGCACAAATGCATATAATGTCAAACGTTAGGAGTATTTGTTTGCATTATGCCTTTTTTTAAAATGAATTGCTACAAGAATAATTTAGTTTGCTTATATTATTTATGTTTTAAATTATATGATTCTGATTATATGACAAATTAGTTGTTGTCTTGAGGTATATATAAAGTATTAAAAAATATCACTAGTATTATATTTTTGATTGAAAATATACTTCATAGATGAGTGATAGTAGTTAGGAGTAATGTTTTTAAAATCGGACCAGACATTGAACCGGTGAAGGTACTGGTTCAACCGCGATTGAACCGGATTTTATATAAAATATTTTTTTTTAATTTTACATAATATTCAAAGTAATATTAATATATATGTAACACTTTTTTAAGTTTACAATATTAAAAGGTATAAAAATATCACAAGTCAACAACAACAACAATAAAACCTTATTCCCATATACAATAAGGTAAAGGGGAGGTAGGGTAGTAGGCTGCCCCCAACGCCAGGATTGAGAGCAGCTTCCGTAGAAGACCTCCGGCAGTAAGAAAATTAAAAATAAAGATAAAATGCAATGCATGTATAAATAAATAAATAAATACATAGTTGAACAGTATTCATAAGTAGTCTTCATATGCGCGTCTGTAATGGGAATAAGTAAGCCCTTCGCATAAATCCCTGCGTAAAAAATCTCTGCATATAGACAGAAACGTAAGACCCGACCAAAAAAAAAGAGGATAATGATGCACAGAAGTCAACGATAGCAAGCTACGAGAAGGAATAAAGTCAAATGGGCTAAAACCTAAACTAAGACCACACTACTCCGCTACCCTAGTTCTAAGCCTTCATAAATTATAATGACATAAACTTATAAAAAATATTAGTCATGGAAATTATTACTAAGGCATTAAAAGGAAGACAGAGATGTTACACCCTATGTTTGTGACCTGCACTACTCGGCTACCGTGATCTTAAGTCTCCATACTTTCCTATCAGAGGTCATGTCCTCGATAAGGGCTAAATCCTTCAAATTAGATCTCAAGCAGTCTTCCCACTTCCACCTTGGTCGTCCTCTCCTTCTGGCACCATCGACTGTAATCAACGCTACTCTCCTGACCGCATCCGACTTTTGTCGCCTAAGGACATGCCCAAACCACCTTAGTCTTCCCTCTCTCAATTTTTTTGATACAGGCACCACCCCCAAAGATATCCTAATAGCAGAGTTCGGTGTCATATCCCACAGAGTCCTACCACATGCCCATCGAAGCATTCTCATTTCTACGGCCTTCATCCTCCTTACGTGATCCTTCTTGATTGCCCAACATTCTGATTCATACAGCAGCGCTGGTCTTATTGCCATTCTATAAAATTTTCCCTTAAGTTTTAGAGGCACCTTCTTGTCACATAAAACTCCAGTAGCAGCCCTCCACTTTAGCCATCCCGCCTTTATACGGTGTGTAACATCATCATCTACACCCCCATCTTTATGTATCATAGACCCTAGGTACTTGAAACATTCCTTTGAAAGGATAACGTGTCCTTCTATGCATACTTCTACATCTTCATCGTTTTGATTCCCACTGAAGTTTGAACTTAAATACTCTGTCTTTTCAATATTGATCCTTAGACATTTTTCTTCCAATGCAGTCTTCCAGGCAACCAGTTTATTATTCAGCTCAGTTTTTGTCTTAGCAACTAGGACAATGTCGTCCGCGAAAAGCATACACCATGGAACACCGTCTGGTGTCGCACAATAGATATCTTCCATAATCAAGGCGAAGATGTAAGGGCTAAGTGCCGACCCCTGGTGGAGTCTGATTTCCACCGGGAATGCCTCGGTGTCGCCAAATGTAGTCCTGACATAAGTAGTATATCTACAGTACATATCACGAATCGCCTGGATATAAGCAGTTGGGATCCGTCTCGTTTCCAATGTCTTTCAAATCGTATCGCAGGGAACGCTATCATACGCCTTCTTAAGGTCAATGAACGCCATGTAAATATCTATATTTTTTCCCTATATTTCTCCATAAGCCATCGAAGTAGATGAATCGCCTCCGTAGTAGACCTGCCTGGCATAAAGCCAAATTGGTTTTCCGAAACCCTAGTAACAAGTCTCAACCTAGCCTCTATCACCCTTTCCCATAGCTTCATGGTATGGCTGAGTAGTTTAATACCTTTGTAGTTGCCACAACGTTGGGGATCTCCTTTATTCTTATAGATATATCATTGTAGACTCTCTCCACTCCTCTGGCATCTTGGCAGTCTCTAAAATAATATTAAAGATATTGGTCAACCACTTAACCCCCTCTTCTCCTAGTGCCAACCACACAGTGATAGGAATTTGATCTGGACCGACAGCTTTGTCCCTCCCCATCTTTCTAAGTGCCATTTTGACTTTCTCAAACCCAATCCTACTTATAGGGCATTCATTGGTCGTAGTATGATGGTCGGCTGACCCATCAACTGTACTATCTCTACAGGGAGATACACCGTCATTAAATA